GATGATGATGATGTGATGATGATGATGATGATGATGGTGGTGGTGGTGGTGGTGACGAGGAGGAGGAGGAGGAGGAGGAGGAGGAGGAGCAGGAGGAGGAGCAGGAGGAGTAGCAGGAGGATGATGAGGATGAGGATGAGGATGAGGATGAGGATGAGGGTGAGGATGAGGATGAGGATTAGGAGGAAAAGGACGAGGATCTTCGTGCTTGTAACGCGCTCTTCCATTCCCAGTGCCCTTCGTATCCCCGTCTTGGGGTATATTTATATATTTTCCGTGTCGTCGGGAATTCCGACGCTTGCGGTCTTGCGCTGTGTACGGTTGGTTTTCGGCTGTTTTCGGCTTCTGGGGACCTTGACCGGGCGAGGCGGTCACCAGGAAGGGGGCCAGACCTTTGTGGAGCCACGTTGTAAACAAATTACGACGTCGAATGTCTGGGGAGGAGGCCGTCTCTCATACCATTTCGCAGGGACCTCGAGTCAGACCAACGAGTGGGAAATGGAGAGCGCGCTCAAGAGCGTGACGGCGGCGGCGTCGGCTGCGGGGTGCATTCGCGACGAGTCGCACCTCGGCACAAGGCGAATACGACTCATGCTTCTCCCGCGGCTAGCCGTTGGACCATCCGTGGAAATTGTCCGAACGTGTTTGCGGTATTGCACAGGGTTCGAAACGCGGAGAGTCAAAGAAAGCAAGCATGGAAAGTACGCAGACTGCTGAAGGCCCTCAGGACTTGTCTCATGCTGGGTTTATCCCCTGCCATATCTAGTCGCCAGTTCGGCAGTAGACAGTTTGGCTCAAGGAATTTAGACCCTAGGCCAGGGAAAGTAGGTGTCACATTTCCAGCCAAGAAAGTGGTGTACAATTAACCCCTGCCTGGCAAATGAGTTTGGCGATGAGAAAGTATTAATCGCGGTGCTTGTGTAGAAGTGCATGGCTTGGTAAGCGAAGAAGGCAGACAGCTCAACGGACAGAGAGGGTGGCTATTTGAAAGCACTGATCGTACGAACCGGTGGCGTGTGTCCATCAGTGGTGCGGGCAAGGATGAATTCATCAAATCAAGGAGGAAAACTTGTCCATCGTGGCAATGACCTCAACCTTTGAAGGGTGCTTTCCGCGCGGCATCGTTAGGCACTTCTACGATGCATTTGATGCGAGTGATTGGGCGATCCATGGTCGCGGTCGACTGCGCAACAGTTTGTCAGGCTTCACAGGTGGTGGATTTACATGCCTCGTTTGGTGTGCAGACCATCACGAAGCAGCACAAATTTCGGAGCACTTGAACGCGAATATTTACAAGTTTGCCGCTGCTTGGAAAACAGCCACCGGACAAGACCACAGGCCTGCATCATATCTCGTTGTCAGTGAGTGATGACCACCCACCAGTGGGAGCGCATGTCGACGTGTTGATCATCTTCCCGGCGCCGGCAGTCGCTGCATACAGGGATCGAATCGGTATGTTGGTGGCTGCATCTTCATCCCATATCAGTGTTGTCACCTTGGCAGCATCTTCACTAGCGTCTACCAAAGAAGAGATCAAGTGGCACCACTTCCCGTCGAAGGAGAGCGTGCCAAAGCTTCGGCAGGTGTGCAAGGGATGCTGGTCGCAAAGCCGTCAATGTTCGTCGGACATATGCCCGAGTTTGACAATCCAGCGGCATTGTCATTGCATTTTCAGGAACATTTGAATTTGTTTGAAAAGCCACGTGAACCAGCAGCAATCGAGAAGGCTAGTGTATTCTTCCAGCAGTTCGGCGACTAGTGGCTCTTCCAACTCCCTCTTCCGCTACCACTAGCGCATCATCCTCAGGGGAGGGACTCGTAGCAGCGAGAGTTTGCGATATCAGTTCCCTATCATGCAAGGCAGGTGTGGTGCAATCCTTTTCTGTGCTCGTGTCTACGGCTTTCCCCTGCATGGTCTCTTTTTTGGGGGGCTCTCTCTCTCTCTCTCTTTCTCCCTCTCTCTCTGACAGCCTCACGGATCAGCCTCATCGCAATGTTCGCAACCTGCTTATTGTTATGTTCTCGGCGACACCAACAGGCTGTCAATCATAACAATAACGTACCTTTGTAGGCACGATATCCTCGCAGCAGTTTTGAGCGCAGGCAGTCGGCAACTACGTGAGCAGCCAGGCGCATTACTGCCAAGCACGGGCTTGATGTTTCCTTGGAATGTCAATCGGGGCGCTGCATTGCCCTTGAGTTCGCAACTAGCCAAGATCGTGTCATGGCAATCGCTTGGAGCGTAGACATCCATCTGTTCCATCGGGCCCTCCTTTCTTGTGTCTTGCCGCGCGGAACGGCAGATGGCGGCACTATCAAGACCCATAGCAAGGACGCAGCAATATATCCTAGAGCGGTTGACCTGACGCCGCTGCACTTGTTACCGCGCGGAATTCCAATGGTCTTGCATCCTTGTCTTGTATCCTTACTATAGGCTTTGATTTCAGTAGCCCTGTAGCCCCACCTCCCAGCGCCCAGACCTACAAGTGCCCTCGTACCCTTCTGCCGTGCTGCCGCCGCCACCTTGCCGTCCTCGCCTCCCGCGCCGCCGACCCCGCTGCTCCCCGCCTCCCACCCGTCTCTGCACTCGCGTCCTCACCCCCGCCCTGATGCCCCTCCCTCCCTCCCCTCGGACCACTCCCGTGGCGCCTTCGGAGCAGGATCTCGAGGCTGCTCCAGGCCGTGGCGACGAGTGCTTCCCAGGAGGCCCCAAAAGCCGCTCCCCTGCCCACCCCCTCAATCTCCCCACACCTCCGACGTCGCGACTCTTGAGCACCTGGCCCCCGGAGCTCTTCGACCCCCCTCATCGGGACAAAAGCTCCTCGCTTCGCCTCGCCCTCGAGGGCCGCGGGACCCGAGGCGGGCCTCCAGACGTCGAGACCGTGGACGCACCTGCCATCAATAATTGAATTGACTGAGAAGGCCTTGCGGACGGTGCCGCCAACCCCTGGAAGCTAGGGCCACCACGAGGGTGCGAAGTTCGTCGCGCTTCGCGCTTCGCGGTCTGGGCGATTTCGGACGAGGCGCGAGTCCCTCGCCTGTTTCTGCGGGCGGGGGCGGCGCGAAAGCGAGAAGATGATCGTGCTTCGCGCTTCGTGGAGCGCGAAGCGCGAAGTTAGTTGTTCTAGGGAAGGCGACCCCCATGGCCTTGATAGTTGCCCTGGGCATGGCGACCCCCATGATTCTAGGCCTCCGCGACGGGGTCCGAGCAGGTGGGGTCGGAAGATCGCGCCGCATCGCTGGGACATCGACGATGCGGCTCGGTGTGGAGCCCGATTTTCTCCACGCCGACGTCGCCGGTGCATCGCCAATGCATCGCCGATGCATCGCCGATGCATCGGCGATGCATCGGCGATGCGGCGCGATCCTCATATAGGACCCCAGATAGCAAGCCTCTAATGATGAGGCAGCCTGAGGTGTTCGGGGAGGTCGGGATCAGACGCTCCCAAGAGCCCTTGAGAGGTTTCACGAGACTCTCAAGAGGCGCCGAAGAAACCCCACCATGTCCCAGGAGGCCTCAAGAAGGCCCACACGGCCACTAACCGGCCAGAGGAGGTCCTGGAGGTGCGGAAAGCCAGAGACGTCGGTCCGTGTTCCCTTGCTTGGGCCTTCATTGGGGCCTCTTTGTGGTTTTCTCGGGGCTTGGGGCTCTCGTGGGCCTTTTTTGAGTGCCTGTTACGCCTTCTTGGGCCCCTCTGCGGCCGTCTGGGGGGCTTCTTGGGGGCCCTTGTGGGCCATCTTGGGGCTATCTTGGAGGCCTTTGGGGTCGTCTTGGAGCGTCGGGAGCCGGAAAAGGCGAAAGCGGCAAACTCCTTGAAACACTTATGGGAAATGCTGTTTTTTCGCCTCTGGGGGCTCTCTTGGGAAGCTGCGGGAGTGTTCTTGGGGCGGCTTGGCTTGTTTTTGTTTGTTTGTGTCGAAGGCGTCACGGGTGGTGTTGCAGCGATCTTGGGTTGTTGAAGGGGCTCGTGTACCGTCTTGGACGCAAGTTGGCTAAAGAAGGACGAACTGGCCCGCAGACTAACCAGGGATCGTCGAGTTCAGTCGGCAGGGCTTCCCCTCCCACCTTCCCCCCTGGCGGGGAAGAGATCAGAGGGAAGAGGCTGCCCCTTGTGCCGATGATTGCGACACTGCTCGATTTCCCTAGGACTGGCTTGCACGAGGAGGAAGGCCGAAGGTGATCGCAGAGAAGAGCGATCTGAACGGACAGGCCCCTCACACACGCCGACAGGCCAATTTCTTCACGACGCTGGAGGTCCTGGGTCTTGGGGCCCCAAGGTCTCAGGGTGGGAAAAAAACACACAGACACAAGTAATCGTCGATTCCCCAGGAAAATATAGGAAAATATGGGAAGTGGGGGGAAGACAAAAACCCAGAAAATATGGGAAACTATGGGGAATCGTGTTATTTGTGTGTATTGATTTGTGTGTCCCAGGGCCCCTTAAAGGTCGACCTCCGGGCACCTGCCCTGGGGTGCGCTCCAGCCAGAATTTCGAGGCGAGTCTGGCCGGCGCCGAGGGCGCCTCGGGAGGCCGAACGCGGGCGAAGCCCAAAAGCCTCGACCCTCGATCCGCGAACCTCGTCGTCGTCGTCGTCGTCGTCGTCGTCGTCGTCGTCGTTTTCGTTTTCGTTGTCATCGTGGTCGTGGTGGTGGGTGTGGTTATGGTGGTGGTGGCGGTCGTCGTCGTCGTCGTCGTCGTCGTCGTCGTCGTGGTCGTCGTCGTCGTCGTCGTTGTTGTTGTCATCGTTTTCGCTTTCGTTTTCGTTGTCGTGGTGGTGGTTGTGGTGGTTATTGTGGTTATGGTGGTGGTGGTGGCGGTGGTCGTCGTCGTCATCGTCGTCGTCATCGTCGTCGTCTTCGTGTTCTTCTTCTTCTTCTTCGTCGTCGTCGTCGTCGTCGTCGCCGTCGTCGTGGTCGTCGTCGTCGTTGTCGTCATGATCATCGTTGTCGTCATCTTCATCGTTGGGTCTCGCCGCCCCCCTCCCCGCGCTCGCCCGAGGCTTTGTCGCCGCGGGCGCTCGCAGCGGCGGCTCAGCGAGGTCTGGCGCGACCCGGAGAGCGGCCGCTGGGAAGGACATCGGAGGGCGCCAATCACACGGTCAGGAACTCCAGCTTGGCGTGCCACGCCGCTGGTTTTGGCCCACCACGCATCGGCGCTACATGCTAATCGTTTCCCCGTCCCCGAGCGTCAACGTCCCGAGCCCTTTCCCAGCCTTCAACACGCGGAGCGGAGCGACACGCTGTCCGCTTGCAGGGTATAGTCTGTCGCCAGGGCCGCCGCCGCGACACGCTGAGCCAGAGTTCCCGACCGTACACCTACCCCCACCTCGCATTGTGAACAGCAACTACGAACGAAGGTTTTTTTTCCCGCCACTGGGTGCCCTTGCCAGGCTTTGGGGCTGCCAGCAAACAGTTTGGGACGAGGAGCCAATCTTGGGGAAGTGGTCGAGATCCCCAGAAGCCCAATTTGCGAACAAAGCACGGCCTCGGAGTTCTGGGTGCACCGATCCTGGCCAGGCCGATCCTGGTTGCAGGCGTACGGTTGCGCCCCACCGAGGTGACTACCACGGACAGCGAGGGCCGCCCCCGCTTCAGGGTCAGCGAGGCTGGGGCGGGCAGGAGTCGGAGGAGAAAGAGACACACATACAGTCGGGACGCTAATACAAGGACAACCACGGGTTCAAGAGGGGCTCTGGGTTTCGGGCCGTTCCTCAGATCCGGGCTGGGGAACCCATTCGTGGCCGAGGCTCGCCGCGGCCAGAAAGTTGACTATCCTGGTGAAGGGCCCAACCATATGCAACTGGGAGACTTGCGAGGCAGGTGAGACGAAGGAGGGTGGGCACGAAACGTGTGATGGGTGTGTCGTAATGGGTGCGGCGACGCTATGCGAACCCTCCCACTGGAGCCTTCGGTTGGGCTCCCTATGGGGCCACGACGCGTGTATGGGGGTGTGCTGACATGGGTGCGGCGGCGCCATGCGAACCCTCCCACTGGGCCTTCGGTGGATTTCCCTACGGGGCCACGAAGCGTGTGAGGGGTGTGACGACATGTGACTGATGATCGTGAGAGTGCTGATGCTGACGACGATGAGGCTGATGATGCTCATGATGGCAAGGATGATGCTGATGATGATGGCGATGATGATGATGCTGATGATGACGAACATGCTGATGATGCTGACGATCATGATGCTGCTGATGATGACGATGATTATCATGATGCTGCTGATGATGCTGATGATGATGATGCTGATGATGACGATGATGGTGATGATGATGCTGTTGCTGATGATGATGATGCTGATGATGGTGATGATGGCGATGCTGATGCTGATGCCGATGATGACAATGATGATGCTGAGTCTGATTATGTTGACGATGCTGCTGCTGATGATGATACTGATGCTGCTGATGATGATGATGCTGATGGTGATGATGCTGCTGATGATGATGACGATGCTGATGACGATGCTGATGATGGTGATGATGGTGCTGCTGCTGATGATTATGATGATGACGACAATGCTGATGTTGACGATGATGACGATGATGCTGATGATGGTGATGATGATGGTGATACTGCTAATGATGATTGTGCTGATGTTGAGGATTATGCTGATGATGATTATGATGATGACGCTGATGATGACGATGATGATGCTGATGCGGGTGATGCTGATGAACATGATGAGGATGATGATGATGCTGACGATGGTGATGCTGCTGCTGATGATTATGATGCTGATGATGCTGCTGATAATGATAATGATGATTATGCTGGTATAGTTGATTATGATGATGATGCTGCTGCTGCTGCTGGTGCTGACGATGTTGATGACGATGATGATGATGATGGTGATGATGATGATGCTGATCTGACGATGACGACGATGATGATGCTGATGATGGTGATGATGCTGATGATGATTGTGCTGATGATGAGGATGATGCTGATGATGATTATGATGATGATGATGATGATGATGACGATGGTGGTAATGGTGATGATGATGCTGCTGCTGATGATGATTCTGATGATGACGATGATGCTGATGACTGATGATGATGATGATGATGATGATGATGATGATGATGATGATGATGATTATGGTGACGATGATGATGGTGATGATGATGCTGCTGCTGCTGATGATGATGATGATGATGATGATTATGATGACGATGATGATGGTGATGATGATGCTGCTGCTGATGATGATGATGATGATGATGGTAATGATGATGATGATGATGATGATGATGATGATGATGATGATGATGATGATGATGGTGATGATGCTGCTGCTGATGATGATGATGCTGCTGCTGCTGCTGATGATGATGATGATGATGATGATGATGATGATGATGATGATGATGATGATACGGGTGGTGCTGATGCTGCTGGTGCGGATAACGATGACGACCAGGAGAGAGTATGAGGGAGGAGGAGGACGAGGAGGAGGAGGAGGAGGAGGAGGAGGAGGAGGAGGAGGAGGAGGAGGACGAGGACGAGGACGAGGAGGAGGACGAGGAGGAGGAGGAGGAGGAGCTGGAACGCGGGGCGCTGCTGAGTCAAAATCAGGACCCGGGAAACATAAAAGATCAATCCCTTCGTCTCTTGTTTGGCGCTTCTCATGGTAGCACAATGGTTGTAGCCTGCGGAAGGTTCGCGCCGCGTCGGCGCGGCGGCGACCTTAGCGTAGGCGTTCAAGGCTGCACGCCGCCACTAGCCCAGTGTCGACCGTTATCGGACGGAGAGGCATTATCGTTCAAGGTTGAACGATCCATGCGGTGTCAGAAACCGACGCCAAAGTCGTCACGACGCGAACCTGCCGTTTCCGAGGCCCCCCCCCAGGGGCGCGGATATCATCGCGCTTATTCAGCGTTCCTCATGGTAGCACGCTGGCTGTATGCTGTATGCTCGTGCCGCTTCTGCGCTTCCGGAGGCCGCGGCGGGCGAGGCGCCCGCCGAGGACGCGACGCCGACCTCACCGGCCGAGGACCCCCGCGGGCCTGGGCCTCCCTGGGTGTGTGCTGCGGTCTAAGTTGATGCTATGCACGTTTCTTAGCTGTTGTTTGTGATTCGCTGTTTTTGTTTTTTCAGCTTCTCGGTTTTCGGCACGGAACAAGAGGCCAGCAGCCCCAAACAGGAACACAACGGCAGTACAAAACGGCACCAAACCGAAAACGGCGAGAACGATACTCTCCAAACGGATAGCAACGGACCCACAGCAACATTGATATTGAAAACGGAGCAAAAGGCCCCCCCCCAGCGTTTTTATCATCACCTAAGGCCGCGGCCCCCTCTCTGCTGGCGCCGGGCTCTGATGCCTTGAGGTTGGCACCAACACCAGCGTCGGCGGTCATCCCTGCTCGGGGTCGGAGGTGTCCAGTGGAGGGGGGCGAGGGCTAGGGGTGTGTTGGCCATCATGGTCGGGGCCATGACGTGTCCCATATCTCATGGCCCCTTCTTCTTTCAAGACATCCCCTGCTCTCCTCCTTCGTCCGCGCACATGCTTCGGGCCATGATGCACAGGCGTAGCACTTGAGCACCCCAATGGAGGCAAATCGTGGGGAAATTTCGAATCGAATGGGAACTTCATATGTGAGTGCCTCGCCAGGAAGTTTCGAGCGGGAGTCCTGTATCTATGGGGCCCCTACCTCATGTTGACTCTCCGAGCGGGTCGTCGGCGTCGTGCAGCACGCATGGCACTTGAGTGCACCAAGGGGGGGATTTTGCAGGGGCGTTTCGGGCGGGAGGTTCATGCCCGAGTGAATCGCAGAGAAATCGCGAACAGCCCCGACGGCGTGGCCCGCCGGGTTGCCCCATGGCTTCGCGATCCGACCATCGGAACACGCGCCCTTGCTGGCCGAGACGGCGACAGCGCGGAGGAGAATCGGCATGCGTGCCCATACAAGAGGGGCGGGGGAGGTGGTGGATGGGGGAGACGAGGCAGGAGAACAGGCAGGAGGCTGAGCAAGGGGCGGGACAAGGAGGGCATCCGCCAGGGCGAACAGGAGAAGGGCGATGAGGAGACAGGAAGAGAGCCTTCGCAGTCACAAGGACGACGATGCGGAGCACTTCCAGATTTGCAGAGGAGATTATCATGTGGGGTCCTATGATTTTTGTTCTTTCATTTGCTTTTAATCAGTCATTCCTTCATAGAATCATGTGTAGATTTATAGATGAATACATGTTGCCCTTTCTCTATATATATATATATACATATATGCAATTGTGCGAGATGATGTGTTCCTGGATGTTCGGCTCGCTCGGTGGTGCCGAACGTGTGCGCGCGCGGGTTGCGGCGGGCGAGTTCATCTACCGCAGAAAACAATTTAGAGTGGGAAGGGATGGGTAGACCATCGGCGCCAGGCGGCTATAGGTGCGGCGCCCTGGCGCCTCCTCCCGGGCCCGCGCGCGGCCGTCCTGCCTCCTTCGGCAACCGCTGGTTTCGCCGACGGCTGGTTTCGCCCGGCTTGTTTCGCCGCCCGGCGAAACCAGCTGCCCGCCCGACCCGACCCGCCTGTTAGGGCCCGCCCGCCCGACCCGAGCCGACCCGCCCGCTAGGGTCCGCCCGCCCGACCTGACCCGCCCGTTAGGGTTCGCGCGTGTTCGGGCGAGCGCGCCCCGCATTTTAGTGTCCCGCCCGCCCGACCCGACCCGCCTGCTAGGGTCCGCCGGCCCGGCGCGACCCCTGGTGACCCAGGCCTGCTCTACCGAGCCATCGGCGAAACCAGCGTCGGCGAAACCAGCGCTGGCGAAACTAGCTCATGCCCCTCCTTCGTCCGTCCCTCGTCGTGGTCGTCGTCGTCCTTCTCCTCCTCCGTTTCCAGCTTCACGCTCTCTCAGCTCTGTGCTACAAGAGACAAGCTCTGGTGACCCAGGCCTGCTGCATCGAGCTGCGCTTG